TTCTGCTTTATCTTAAACTGTGATTGCACAATGTAAAAGAATTATTATGGTTGCTTCCCAAATAATGATTATGAAATGGTATCAATCGTCGAAGCCACAGTTTAGCTAAGCCGAAATAATCAATAGATACAAATCAAGCACAATAAAATGAAACTTAAAATCAATATTTAGTCTGGAATCTCACATATTGTTGAAAAATGACTTCTTTAAATTATGAAAAAATTTGGTTCAGAGAAACTGATACTATTTTGCCTTAAAAATATATTTTGGACACAAAAGGAATGAAGAATAGAATAGTCATAATATTCGTAATCGTAAAAAAGTATAAATAAAATCAAGAATCAAGCTGATCACAAGAAAAACAAAAGATATGAGAACTTACTTCAAATTCTCTGTTTCCCGCTCTAATAAGGCAACTCTGATCTCCACCTGGCTCTCTTTGGCTCTCCTGGCGTCACGTGATCGCTTTGCAGCAGCATTGTTCTTTAGTCTGCGGTTCCAATACCTTTCGTCCTTCATCTCTTCGGGAATAAGGCGCTAAATAATGAATAGTATCGAACATAATAGAAAATGGGAAAGCGCCCATTTAATTGTTTTAACGCATCTAATAAGCGTAAATCGCATTTACCGAGAAAAAGCCGGTGTGATAGAAATATACAATATGAGAGAATGAAAGTACCTATTAAAAAAATTTTGCACCTAGGATCTTCCAAAGATCCTTCTACTTGAAATGTAACTAACAAAGATTAAGGTGTTTGAATCAGGCTAAACATAAATAATTAAAAGCAAGACGCTTGAATATCATTAATGAGTCATTAGTGCTTATGATATATCTAATAGTAAACAAGCATGAATAATTTTACACTTTAATTGCCGCCTCGGATATCTAAGACAGAATTCAATGTAAAAATATCGGCCAAATTCAGTCTTAGGAAAATAAAATCAGATGGAAAAAGCATTTGGATTTATAGTGATACAAGAGAATATCCATAAAAATGTCAACAGCCTAGGAATTGAAGGAAAACATTTACGAACCTCCAGTAGAACTTAAAATGAAAAACACGGGCCATGAGTAAGCAAACGTAGATATTAAAAGTGTATGGGCTTCGAGTTAAAACGAAAAGAATTAAGGTTAGATACTTCACATTATAAAGTCTAACCAGATAAGCTGCAAG